TAGTTAGACCATTGACTGATGCAAGTCTTTTGGCTTCCTCTGCGGCACGTACTCCCACCTCCGTAAAGAATTCATTGAATTCCGTCGCAAGTTCTTTCATAATGATATCCCTAGAATAAGCTGGGCGCGACTTCTCCCTAGTTGGTATGCAATTCCGTATCACCTTCCACTATTCACTAGAGCTCTGATTCTTTTTAACCTCATTCTGGACATACTCCTTCGCTTCGCGTAATACCCTCTTAACGTCATTACGATAATACTGCCAATCCACAAGAGCACCCGTCTCTCGTGCGATTTTATGAGCTTGATCTCTTTTTGCCATTTTCTCTTTGATCTCTTCATTTACAAATGGACATCTCCGATGTTTGATTTTAATTTTCTTAATAGGTGCATGATTATCCAGAACCCGGAAAAAGGCTTTGTTGAAATGAAGCAGTTTCTCATTTACATCGTCAGACAAAATGTTTTCATACCAAGGGATCTTGTTAAGGTCGCTCAAAAAGCTCTGAGGATCGTAGTACTTATAGCTCCTAGCGACAACATAAACAGCCGGTGGCTTGGGCATCCTTAGATTTAACGCAGCAAAAACTAAAAAGTGATCGCTTTTGAGCTTCGGATTGTTAGCATGGGATTCAAAAATGGCCGCATACCAGCAGTTTCTAAAGCACATTTACTGGAATTTTATGGAGTCCGCCATCTCAGGGATTGGAATATGGCTCAATTTGTGAGTCAGTGCCAGTAATGAATTAGGTAAGCCGTACTTTTGCCAAAATCTGCTTGAGATAGATCCGTTAGATAAATCTGAAAATATCGTATTAGCTCGCATACGCGTTGATACAAACGGTCATAACTTTTAAAATACTGAAATCGTACATGGGGTTTTGTATATTATTAATAACAGATGGTCTATCTTTGCATCTGTTTAGTCTAGAGCTTTCAACTATGTCCCAAACGTCAGAAATAAGCTTTTAAAACAGGTTCATTTTTGGCCTTTCGCTCCAAGGCAATTAGTTGTGGTCATATTTTGCTTGATTTCGTCTTTCCAGCTAAATTTAGCGGATAACTATTATCTTCAGGAAAAACTAGAGATGTTTACCTATAAATACGTATAAAATTGATTGGTAAATGGTGCAAATCAAACATTTTACAGCGCCGCAAAAAATGCCAAATTGCCAAGGCGTGGGTTGAGCTGTTGTTTGCTCGGGTTGGAACTTGGTTTTATGTTACCAATGTATGGCGGAAAGGACGAGGGAGCAATTAAAGTACACTTACTTGCACCTATTTGTTAACAGACAAAGTAAAAACAGTTTAGCTGATGTTGTGTTATTCACTCAGATTAGAAATCATGGTGGCACTAAAGGCTGCAATTTTGACATTTTTGGCCTTTGCCTATGAAACAGATTTTTTTAGGCCAATCCAATGGATGAAGTTACAGTTTCTTAAGAAAATTGCTATAATAAACGAGGCTCTTTTGTTTTTGTTACTTAAGTTTTGAGATACGTCAGTCCTTTTTTGACAATAAAGAGTTCTTAAAAAAATTTGCTTCATATCATGGACCTCTGTTTTCAAGTTGCCGTTAAAGTAGTATTATTGATAACAATGCTAACTATTAAACCTATTTACAATTAATCACTATTCGGTCAAAGGACTATTTGCATTTCACTTCGATTAAACCCTCTTTTCAGTTAATAATGACAATAAAAATAACAGTGATAATGATATCAATAACTGAATAACAAGTTGTTACTCAAATGGCTATATAGGGGATCTGTCTGGGGTATTTAGTGTTTGATATTCCCTAGACACATTCTGGCGCTCAGTTAAGGTGATTCCCTGGTTTTGCACTGCGCATCTCTTACTGCGCATAACAAGATGGCCTCCGTAAAAAAGAGCATGTGAAGTAACATTATTAAAATGAAGTTGACCGAAGAGAAACGCTATTGCAATTTTTGCTTGCGGTTGTTTCTTGCCGAGGTGAGACTAAGTGTGGTGGGAATATGCATAACGTAAGCAATACGCGTGTTGCTTTAATAGTTCGACTTCCTCACGGAGAACCTCGATAGTGGATGTTTAATTTGTGCTTATTCACTTTGATTTTCATTTAAACCCTTTCTTTATCACATTGTGTCCTAAATGTGATATCTCGATGTAAATTCTGTAAAAACGGAATTTTAATACTTTCTTCCCCCTTTCGCATATATTCTATTTTGAAACTCGCCCCAGTCCTCTCTCAAAAATCAAGGAATGCATTTGGTGCACACTTTCTGCAGCTCTACCGCAAAAACGAGTACGGTGACCCCCATTTTTTATTTCATGGTTTTAATAAGGACAGTGCTTCCTTTCGGTGAGAAAAAAATTGGCACCAATCTATGTTCAGTTTTTTGGCAATTTTACTAAATTGTACGGATTGAGCTATCACGTGTCGAATAACACGTGTCCAATTTAATTCTACTTTGTAGCGTAAAGTAAAAACAAGGGCATTAAAAGGCTTTTTTCTGGTACGTAAGTGGATAAACAATACATTAAAGTCAAATTCTGTGCGGTACCACATGCATCATTGAAAAAATCCTTCCTTTTTGTCTAGTTTTGGGCAGCGCGCGGTTTTTGTCAAAGGGTCCAAAATAGCCGTATTTGTCAGCATTGTGACGTCAAAACGAGCACGGTGACCCCCAACTTTTATTACCTTTTTATCATCTTCTTGACTTGTTACATCAGTGTACCAAGTTTCATCTACAATCTATGTTAGGTTCTTTAACTAGGGAATCACCTTAACCTGTAATAAGGCTAAAAGCAAATGCTGTTAAATCGTCTTATGACCCTAAGCATATAAAAAGCTGAAAGAATTACACTTAGGACCTTTATTACATTTAAGGTCAAAAGTTGTTACACTTAGGACCTTTATTACATTTAGGGTCATTTATTACCTTTGAGGCCTCAACACTTCTCCAAAGATAGGCACCAAAGACACTAATTATAAAAAATTTTGCAAAGCGAGCAATTGTCATCGTCGACCGTACAAAAACACAAAACAGACTGTGCCCTCGGTTGCACAAAATTTAGACACAGAGCTACTACACTAAAGGAAGAATCCTTTGAGCCAAAAACATGATTCTTGGCTTTTCCTCTAATAAAAAGATGCCCGAACTTGAGAAGAATCATCCAATCGTGTACAAAAGCGTTCCAGTGTTTGCCATCGTCACATAGTAAAATCCAAAAATAGGAGGACTTCCACATAGGAATAACTAAAGTTCCTACAGCCTTATACGCTCTCATATGAGTAATAACTCTACTAATTTGCGATAACGGTGGATGGACCCAATTGTTTTCTCCCTCCCAGTTCTGGGCGAAAGCGTCCACAGCTTAAGCGCCGGGTTGGTAAAATCTAGAATTAAAGCGCGAAAGCTTGGCGTTGTAACTACAGGCAAACCTATCCACTGTGTGCGGTCCCCATTTACAATCCAACATAATTATGAAACACGTCATCATCAATAGAGTAATCGTCAAAATCAATTAGTCTACTCAAAGAATCAGCCTGGTGATTAGAGTCCCTAGGGATCCACTTCATTTCGAGGGAAATGCCTGAACTCGCGCAAACATGAAAAATAGAAAGCGCTAGAGACTGAAGCTCCTCAACTTTTTTACCCTGAAGATCAGGAGCAAAGGCGGAAAGTGCCAGGTCTACAGTCCTAAGCTCTCTCCAAGTAGAGCTTTCAGAACCCTCTGTAGCAATCCAATTTTGATGAAAAATCTTATGCTCGTTTTCAATAAAAGAACTACAAGCGAAATCTGATTTGTCAGAATAGACAAATCTAGCGGGCGGATGGAAAGGCACCCACGGGCAACGAAAATTAAGAGAGCCTACGTTGTCTATCCAAAACGTCAATTCATCAAAAGCTTCTTTGGTCAACCCGACCTTAGAGTTCCATGACTGTTTCTGATTTACAACGGCGTACAAAGCACGTGTCATAATTCTGGCCACACTTCCAACTCAAGGAGTGAGCGAGATGACTTGGCCCACCACAGAGGCTACATCTCTAACTTTGAAAATTTTACCTTGAGTCATCCTTACGTAAGAGATCAATGCTACTCTTTAGCTTTGAAACCCTTCGCTCGGTAACCGAAATAAATCCTTGATAAGTATCAAAAACAGTGCCGAGCCAGGTAATAACTTGAATAGGCTCCCAAAGGGACTTCTGATAACAAAGCCGTACCTAGTCAAATCAGCGCGAACAGTCAAACTGTTGATTTTGGCCTTGACAGAATTGATACCACCCCCTAAGCCGTCATCAAGAAAAATAGCCATGGGAATTCCTTTGCACCTTCATGAAGCAAGAATAGGCTTTAATAATTTTGTGAACAAATACGGTGCGGAAGACAACCCGAAAGGTAAAACTGTGACCTGAAAATACTTAACAACACCATCGCCAAAATCCCAGGAGAAAGCTAAGTATTTACGGTGATCGGTAAAAATTTCAACGTGATGATAACCGGACTTCAAGTCGATCTTGAAAAGAAAAAATCCTTTACTTTTTTAGGGAAAAATTTGAAGGGCAACCGATACATCTTTTCATCTAAATTTACGCTTAAAAACATACAGATTAACATGCCTCAAATCAATAATTAATTTCTTCTTGCCTGAAGGCTGAATATAGACAGAAAGTGGATTAACAATATCCGGCTTGTAATCCAGAATCTCAACACACTTAGTTCTTGACAGGTCGGAAATAGCCTCAGAAACAAAATGACTATGGGTAACAGTAAAGAGATTGTTAGGACTAGCTTTAGGGGGCAGAAGAGTCACGAACGGCATTTTATAACCGTCCCGCACAACGCTTAATATTTATACCTTATTGATATTCATTAGACTTCGCCCATAGTATATAAGCATATGTTAATTATTGGCAGTTGTCAGTTTGACTAACCGTAAGTTGGAGTCGCCTCACCGTTTCGTGTGCGCGTCCGTCCCAACGAGGTCGAATGCTAGAGTCATGGTCCAAAAAATGTTTCTTCATCTTCTTCAAGGCTCGGCTCGTGCCACTTATTTGCTCGACTTTAACTTCGTCCACATCGCAAGCTGTTTTGCAAGCTTAGCGGCAGCCGAAGATGATAGACATTCGAACTGCAAAAATTCCACCACGTCTGATGTATTCAACTCGACAGAACACTCAGGTATTTTCAGTTTTCGTTGTTGAATTTGCATTGGTCTAAGGAGCCTTATGTTTGGTCTTTTTTTCTGGTTGTTTTTAATTCTCATTTAGTTTGTTTGGACCGGTGCTGGGAAACCAGTTTTTTATTTTCGTGCTTTAAGCACGTGCTGGGTAATTTATTCGCTGTTATTCTCGCACGTCTTTCGTTTTTTCTGCAATCTCGCGTCCTGCACTGTTTTGTTATTTGCAGTTGTGCTTATTTTCTTGGATGTTTGGTAAATCAGTTATTTTATATTTTTGAACACTTGCTCATTTTGGTTGAGGACCAGCTACTTAAAATCTTAAGCTTTTGTGTCTTTGTGTCGCCAGGTGACATGGCTTTCCTTTTGAAAAGAGGAACCCAGTTTGAGCGACGAGTTTGGAAGCATTGCCCAGTGTGCCACGTGGTGCCGCGATATTTTCTACCGAGGATTCTTTGCCTATCAGATGGTGGTTATAAGAGAGAAAAGACGTGATAACGTTTTGGTCGAGAGCTAAAAGAGTGGGGTTGCTGTGCCACGCGGTGGCATTAGGGAAAAAATAAATAACATCGGTCGCGGTCTGAGGGAGCGGTGTCGCTCTGTGCCCCCTTTCGCTCTTTTACTTGCGCCATTTTTTTCGCGCGGGTTTGTCTATCGTTCCTCGTTCTTTGCTCCTAAACCGCACGGAAACGCTTGCTACGCGGGCTACGGCGGACCGACAGAGCGGTGTCACTCTGTGCCACGGGGTGGCGTTAAAAAAGAAAAAAGGAAAAAAAATGATCGGTCGTGGACCGAGAGAGAGGTGTATCGCTATCCCTCGATTCGGTATAAATAATGCATTACAAGGTAGAAAAGAACGCAACTCGAAAGGGGTTTGGGAGAGAGCTGAGTCTAGAGGTCTTTGCTGTTTCAATTAATAAAACGAGGACCGTTCTTGGGACGGACGCGCACAGCTCCGTGTTCCATACCATTGAACTGTGCTTTAAAGCGGGCTATATTTAGCATACTTGCCCAGAGAAACGGATGGAGGAGGCCTNCTCGATTCGGTATAAATAATGCATTACAAGGTAGAAAAGAACGCAACTCGAAAGGGGTTTGGGAGAGAGCTGAGTCTAGAGGTCTTTGCTGTTTCAATTAATAAAACGAGGACCGTTCTTGGGACGGACGCGCACAGCTCCGTGTTCCATACCATTGAACTGTGCTTTAAAGCGGGCTATATTTAGCATACTTGCCCAGAGAAACGGGTGGAGGAGGCCTGGTTACCGTGATTGCTATATATACTTGATCGTTTCGTTGGGTTTATCGACAAATTTAGGCATATAAGCACTATTTTTACCTTTTTTTTGGTGTCTCTATGGTCTCGAGGTTGGAGAAGTGACCCCACAAGCGTTTTGGCTATAGGCATGGTCATTTTCTCCGAGCTCGGGTTTGCAGTCTCTTTACGATTTGTCATCTTTTGATCGTCTTCTTCTCGGTAACTGTCGGAGAAGAATCGCCGATATTTGTGTCTTTAACGTTACGGAGAGTAAGCAGATACAGACATGCTTAATATCTCTGAATGTAAACCCGAGTTCGGGGAAAATGGCCACAAGTGAAAGGATAACATCTATAGGGCTTATATTGGCCCATATTATCGAGAGATAAACCCTGTCGGGCCCGTTTACTTATACCTGGACATAAGGAACAGGGACGTAGAAGCGCCGAGTGGGGTCTTTGGTAGTCACCTTTTAAGTATAAACGGTGTTCACAGCCTGTCACTGGTGCATGACTTAACGATACATTGAGTTGGGAGCAATCCGGGCGTATTTGGGATGTATGCGGTAAAAGTTTTTCGCCCTCTTGTCTTCTTGGTGACGCTAGAGCCAAAGAGGACAAGTTTTGAGGTTTATGTGTTGGCACGTTTCACCAGGTTTTATATTTGTGAATTATGGTAACACTTACTACCGCTTGTGGAAGTTTTTTCGATTAGCTGTATTTTGATTCTTACAAAAGTAGCAAGGGTGACTGATTTGGATGTCACTTTGTATCCGTACCCTCACTCTTCGATGGTAACTCAGTATTGAGTGGTAGGCTTGGTGTCTGGTTAGGATCACTCCCGTTTCGTTCAGAATAACGTCTTCATTAATGTTTATAAAACTACTGGACTGGAAGTTCCTACAGGCATTGTTCTTTCTCTTTAATGATTGTTAAATTCGGGGTTGTTTTCCCTTGAACAAGTTTTGTCGCTCTTGAAATGGGTGGAGTGTTCTCGAATACAGCTAATTATTTTGTGAGGGCAGCTTTGTACATGGTTTAAAAGGTCTCGTTAACCTACGCTCTTTTGTGAGTACTTTCGCACGAATTCTTTCTCTGCTTTCTAGACCAAATATTTAGAAATGGTCTGGGTTGTGTCATGGCTCGGGTATTGAATTCCTAGGTTAGGAGTGGTGGTGACATTAGCATATGCTCTGGACAGCCACGAAGTTCGGCCCTTAGATCTATGGGGAAAGGTGATTCGTTAGGAGCCTGTGAGAACATATTTGCCCATTACGCAGCTGTCTCCTTTTAGTGGTTGCGTCGTCCATCGGTTCCAAACCTTGTCTAGTGAAATTTTCCTGCTAAGTTGAGCACATATAGACGAGGGCATACACGTATAATGTTTAGATGTTGGATTCTTCATCTACCTCTCTGTCTGCTTTGGCAACCGCATTACACCATCCGTGCTTTTGGCCTTCTCCTTTATTGGGCTTAGTTAGTTTCATTTTAGCGTCGAAGAAAGAGCGAGCCCGTTACAACCCCTGCGGGTGTGTCTGTTGAGTGGGTTATTCGAAGATTACAGGTGTCATGTGTTATCAGCTAATGCCTGGTTTACCCTGGGATTGCATGACCTCTACGCGTTTCGAAATGAATGAACCACGGGATAGACATATCCCTTCTTTTANCAGGCATTGTTCTTTCTCTTTAATGATTGTTAAATTCGGGGTTGTTTTCCCTTGAACAAGTTTTGTCGCTCTTGAAATGGGTGGAGTGTTCTCGAATACAGCTAATTATTTTGTGAGGGCAGCTTTGTACATGGTTTAAAAGGTCTCGTTAACCTACGCTCTTTTGTGAGTACTTTCGCACGAATTCTTTCTCTGCTTTCTAGACCAAATATTTAGAAATGGTCTGGGTTGTGTCATGGCTCGGGTATTGAATTCCTAGGTTAGGAGTGGTGGTGACATTAGCATATGCTCTGGACAGCCACGAAGTTCGGCCCTTAGATCTATGGGGAAAGGTGATTCGTTAGGAGCCTGTGAGAACATATTTGCCCATTACGCAGCTGTCTCCTTTTAGTGGTTGCGTCGTCCATCGGTTCCAAACCTTGTCTAGTGAAATTTTCCTGCTAAGTTGAGCACATATAGACGAGGGCATACACGTATAATGTTTAGATGTTGGATTCTTCATCTACCTCTCTGTCTGCTTTGGCAACCGCATTACACCATCCGTGCTTTTGGCCTTCTCCTTTATTGGGCTTAGTTAGTTTCATTTTAGCGTCGAAGAAAGAGCGAGCCCGTTACAACCCCTGCGGGTGTGTCTGTTGAGTGGGTTATTCGAAGATTACAGGTGTCATGTGTTATCAGCTAATGCCTGGTTTACCCTGGGATTGCATGACCTCTACGCGTTTCGAAATGAATGAACCACGGGATAGACATATCCCTTCTTTTACCTTTGTGAACAATCAAAATTAAAGCGATGAAAATGTTTGTAGCGCGCATGTCTAGATTTTGTATTGCTATCAGTATATGTGATTGCTTGCCTCAAACTCGATGAGTATGATTTTTCCTGCTGCCTAGGGTGTGGTCTTGGACGTTAGAATGGATCCTGATGTATTTACAAGAGACCCAACGTTTGTTACCCGGTCGGTTCAAGATTTTATCAAATGGTAAACAAAACTCAGGTCAGGAATACTCGGCAATCGTGTTTTCCATATGTGTGGACATATGTGTCCCATTTAAAGGAAAACGGCTGCGGGGTCCTGCAATGGTAACCAGAGGTGGGTTGAAGTCATGATCCGCGAGTTTCGGTCGTAACATCCCCACCAGTGAAACAGATCTGTTTTTCGAAGATCTGTTGCTCCCGAAGATTTTCACTTGAAGGGAACGTCAGGTGTTAGTGGATCACTAAGTCGGCTATACACGGGTCGTGATCAGTATGAGACAACTTTTGAGCTCGGTTTTTATTTCTAGCCTTTAATATTTGGTCCTTTTAAGTGGCGTAATAGTACAAGAGAGTTAGTATTTTCAATCGTTTTGACTGTGCGTCAGAAAGAGTCATAATCTTTAATATGCATTGTGGGGATGTTTTGTTTTGTCCAGTTGACAACCCCTTTTCGCGAAAGACTGCAGATTTTGCTGAAATCGCATCGTTTTATAGGAAGTGAGCCATATCCTCTTCCTTCGCCAATGGATTTAAGTGCTCAAGCTGGCTTACTCAATTTTTGGAAACTGGGAGGGCAAAGTAGACGCGTTAAGATCGCTGTAACCCTCACCCAAGCCCTCATTAATCAGCCATATAGATGACAACAAACAGTTACGAGAGCCATCCTTTCGAGTTTTACGGGTTTGCATTCGTGAATAGTTATTACTCGTCAACTCAGGTTCATTTCTCGTCACAGAAGGTATCGACCCTTTCCGGGCACTCTCAGCTTATTTGCTGACGATGTGGTGGGAGTTTGGGGTCGAATCAGACAACCGACACCGGTTGCTTCCTAAAGGGCTTACATTTGGCTGTAACATCAGATGTACCTGTAATATTACCACTACTGCTAGAAACATCAGTTGTTCCCTGGTGTCAAGCAGACTCTGCCCTCTATGTGTGATTATTGTAGTGGAGATCTGCATTGGGTTTGTTGGAGGTTATCCTGGCCCCGTTCAATCAAAATAGATCGTGCACAAATTTTCCTCCTACACTAGTCCCGTACGAACCTAGGTTAACCGGGGACCACCCTTACGCGATTTAGAAACTACATATATAATTTCTCCCGCAATGCTAGGACAAAGCTAACAAGGATCACATGGTTTGGTGGTCCCCGTTCCATAATCCATGCGCCTCACTTCATTAAATTGAATGGCGCACCTAACCATGCTGAGGCCGCGTTAAAATGATTGCGTAAATACTAATACGTACGACACCGTGTAACAGGGGTAAAAGGGGGTTGACTGGTCTGCATGATTCCCTGTGCGCGGGGCGTGCTTTAGCCTTTTCATAGTTTGGCTCCCATGCCGGGATGTCTTTGAGCAACAGTCCTCCTTTGTACGATATGAGGGGCGGACTCTTGCAAATTTCGCCCTGTAATGGTTGTTGTTATATTCAATGCTAGTTTCTCACGAGACTTTGCTTTGAGGTTAGGCACTTAGTGTGACGGTATTGTGTGTCTCACAAAAGGCACGATTCGTAGATTTCTCTTTTATGTCGAAGGGTTAGTTTTCTGTCTCAAAATTTATTTCTGAAAGGGTAGTACGTGTGAGATCCCGTGTAACCTCTCTCTAGCAGATGTGATTTGCACCACTCAAACGAGTCGTACCACTTGAAAGGGCCTCCTCACGACAACTTTGCCAACCAATTCTTTGTGTCGCTAATGAGATGCGTGTTCTCCAGTTGCACTTGCAAGTGAGATGCAGTTAAACTATATGTGACACCTCAAGTTATCACACGGAACTATCACCCATTCACCACTAGTACCAATCGCATGAATTGAAAGGCTGATCTAACCACTTTTACTCTTCGTACAAGTTGAAACACACAGAAACACACACACCACGACTTTCACAACTTGAACAAGTGGTGAGTGTTGGACAACCCTCATCGACTTGTGGCGATTTGTTAAGATTTTGTTGTATGGGTTTGGGGATTAGTTAGGGTTGGGAGAGTTCAATTTAGTTAAGGATTGGGAAGGATAAGAGTTCATCATGGTGTTTATGTTAGGATTATGTAGGGGATTCTACAGCGATAGGCGCAGTCTGGGGTGACTTCCCATAACTAAATGCTAATAAGTATGCAAGAAGGATATTAAACTATTTATACCTCATTAATATTCATTAGACTTCGCGCATAGTATATAAGCATGTGTTAATTATTCACAGTTGTCAGTTTGACTAACTTTAGTTGGAGTCGCCCCCACCCACCCGCCCCTTCTGCTTACTTTATTAGCACCTACGTGTCTTCCCCATTGAGCTTGCTCGTCTTGGGTGACTTTCCATAACTAAATGCTAATAAGTATGCAAGAAGGATATTGAACTATAAACCCTAAAGCGCCTAATTTCACCCATTGATCGTAGCACAAAGACAAACGACCACGAACCGAAGGACTGTTATATTGCCCTGAAGTAAACTCATATTTTATCAACGACCTTATTTCTACTGCTTTATCAGGGTGATCTGAATTTGAAAGATCATCGTCAGAAATGTCACTAGAGCTATTTGAAACAATGGAATTGACAACACCTTGAAAATTTTCTGGTCATTAGCCCGTGGTTGACTTTGCAGAATAAGGACACTGGGCCCTCCAATGTCCAGGTTTATTGCAGGCAAAACAGAAACCCGGCTTGGCTTGTGGCGTTCTGGTCTGCACTATTGGAGTAGGTTTCCCACTACACTGGCTAGAAGCAGCGGCCGCGACCGTCGTTAACGCAGTGGACTCGCTTCTGTTTGTTGGCCTTGACTTCAAACAACCGCTTTGTTCAGCCTGGGTACGTGCCCTAGCCTCTGCTCTGACAATCTTCTTCTCGTCGTCGGAATCCTCCGGAAGATCGTTACGCTCGTATTCACGAATCAATGACCATCCAAAGTCTGACTTGTCAGCAAGCATAATATGTTTCTGCATCTCAGTCAATAACTTCTCACCTTTCTCTAGTGAAGCGTGAACTTTACCAAAGCTTTATCAAACTGACGGGCGGAACAGGCATCTTTAGCCTCTTCGATAGCGTCGCTGACTTTGAGGTTGAATCGATATTGATCTTCCTTACCTCTCTTTTAAACCAATGAGGCTCATCGAACTTAAGCTTCTTGGCATGTCTTGGGTCTTCTTGATTTCTTTGAGGTGGGAATCTGCGGTGTCCGCATGCGAACGTTTCAGCTCGTTTAAGGAGTCATCAAGCAACGACTTCATAGACGCTAAGAGATTCTCATTCTTCTTTGTAACAGTCGATTCCACAATTCTGACTACTTCGGCCTCGTCCATTATTGAGAATAAGTCACAAGGAAGACATAAGTAACAAATAACTTGAGCTAGACAAGGTGTCGGCCTAGAATGCCTTTCCCATGTGATAAGCATCCCTCTTATAGCGCTCCATTCTACCCATACTGCACTTCAGCTGCCCCAGTCCCCGGCTCCCGTGCCGCAGAAATATTTCATTTCCGGCTAATTCGTACCCACTCAAACGCCGGAAATTCCATCTCTCTTTAAATAATTTTTTTTTTCAATTTTTCGTTATTTCAATTTTCTCGCGAAAATGGTTGGAAATCGGTTTAGGGAAATAGTATTCTTTGTTTGAAGGCCGTTAAATTCGCTTGATGGAATAATTCCCAGCTTCGCGATAGGGTGCGCAGACTGTCAACTAACGAGCTTTCATTCATTCATTCTTTCTCTCTTTCTTTACTTTCTTGCGTTAACTGTCCCTGTTCCCTGTGTGCCCGGTGTCTCTGCTTCGAGTCGTACTTTTTACTTTTTTTTTCACTTTTTTACCCGTATGTATTTGTATGTTACCCGTATGTTGCTCGTAGGTACCTGATGACATACTTTCAATTCTTCTTTTGTTTGACCTCACCCCCTACCCCCCGCCCCCAGCTCACCCCGACAGCTACTTGTAGCCACGCGACCACGCCATCAAAAAACCAGGTCTTAAACCAGGTCTTAAAAACCAGGTCTTCTGGCTTTGTCACGCGCACGCGTTCTTGAATTTTAGAGGTCATGGCAACAAATGTTAACTCTGATTTCTTGGGTAACTGTGAGGAATCGATCTTAACAACTTTATTAAAACGTAGCATAAAAGCTAAGGACCATTCCCATTCGCCTTATAGCAAGTTTCGTGTTGGAGCCGCCTTGTTGACTGATACCGGAGAAATCATCGACGGATGTAACGTTGAAAATGCCAGTTACGGGTTGTCGATTTGTGCAGAGAGAACAGCCCTGGTCAAGGCTGTGAGTATGGGATTTAAAAAGTTCCCTGCAATTGCTGTAACTACAGATATGGATGAGTTTATTGCTCCATGCGGGGCTTGCAGACAAGTCCTAGCTGAGTTTGGATTGAAGTGTGACGTGTACCTTGTAAAATCGGACCTGTCGTTCAAGAAGATGAGCATTTCGGACCTTTTGCCTTTGACTTTCACTTCCGCGGAATTAGAGAGGGCAGGTTTGCAACATTAAAGGCCAGTGGAAGTACTTTTATTATTTTCTTACCACGTGGAGGATTTAAATTGCTGAACTTTGCGTAATTATACGCTCTAGTGATTCCAAATGATCGAACACAACACGGGTTAGGCTGGACCCTACAGAACCAACCCTTACTACAGATTAATTTCTTATTAATATTTATTGTAAGCAAGGTTGTTTCTGGTCTTATTTATCTTGAATGAAGATGATGTGTACTGCGGAGTATGCATCCCAGTTGTATCTGTAATAGCGCTTTGCACTATTACTAAAAATAGGTTTTGTCACATTAGCCCCCCCCGCGTGACTGAGACAAACTTTGCATTCTGTAATAAGTACTATAGTTGTGCGGTCAGGTAGAAATCACGGTTTTCTCATCTAAGAACATGCAACTCAAGGTTACAAAATACTGTTGAGCTTTTACTCCGAGATGGGGTAATGATTACACAAAATGTTACTCTTAGCAATACAAAGGAAGGTAAAATACAAAAAAGGAACAACATTTTAATCCTGGATTAACGCTAATTGGCCTTTCAGGAACCGGGCCCATATAAATACAGTACTTTACAGCCTGTAGTACTAATTAGCGTAACATAAGTACTCGGAAAAAAAAAAGAGTAACCTTTGCCTATAAATTAAACCTAATGCACCATGTTACGAACAGCTTTGAAGCCCTGCTCTCCATATATACATTCCTAAGTAAAATGCCATAACATAATTCTACCCACAGTAATGACACCGCATAAGAAATAGAATTACTCATTTGTACAGTTTTTTCCATGTTTAATGTTGTCTTGGCACGCGTTAATTATTTTCAGGATATATGTTATCGAAAAAAGCTGGATTTTGTTTCTTAAAATGGTAAAAATCTTCAAAGATGATGAAAATTTTTGCCGAACATGACTTTCCCATACAAAGCTCTTATACTGGTCAGGTTCAATGTCTGAGTCAAGCCAGAGACCAGAAATTTGTGACATCATTAGTGCAAGGTGCTATTTATTAAGCAAACGCAAATTTCACAACAACTGAGTTATTTCTTGCGCACTGATTGGCTAATTTTTACAAACAATAAGAGGACAGACACGTGGAGTGCAAGATGTTTATTGTTTTGTCAAGGTTACTAATTTCATGGAATTTTCACTCTCTGACTGCTGAGAAAAATAGCTAGATTGCTCTGATGCAAGACTCACATTCTTTTTGGAATCTCCACAGAGGAAACTGAACAAAATCATTATGGGTTTTTAAAAGCTGAGAGAACTTGGTAGAAATTTTTCAGTTTCAAAACTCTGATTCACGTAAGCTTTGTATAGTTGTAATGGTCAAAAAGTAAGACAACAATTCTGAAATCTTTATTTAATGTTTCATTCCTTTCATGGGTTAAGATATGTCTAGGATGAACTGTGCCTCAATAGATAAAAGCCTTAACTCTCATGGATGGATCATCATAAATGACAGCTACTAGAGCACTGCATGCGCAGCACTAACACACAGGCCCTAGGTTTGAATCCCATTGAAGCGCTGAAATTCCTTCTAGGAATATGTGCTTAATTATTTGAAACTTCAATACCCCCCCCCCCCCCCCCCCCCCCCCCCATCTCCTTTCTTTTCTCATACACCAATTTTCTAAAAAACCCTCATGACACCTACCTCTTGTCCTCTATTCTCTACAACATCATGGACCGGTCACTTTTATACTTTTCCCTAGTAAAAAAACCTTAACCACCATGGGAGGATCACAAAAAAAGACACCTCCAAGAGCACCGCCAGCGCCCCACCAAACCACAGGCCCCAGGTTTTAAACCCATTGAAGGGCTGAAATTCCTTTTAGGAATATGTGTTTAATTATTTTAAAACTTCAAATCCCCCCCCCCCCCCCCCCACAACCTTGGAATTTTAACTTTTAAAATCAGGTCTGTTCAAATCCATCACATGAGCCCAATGTTTTGGTAAAGATACTCCAGATGAAGAAATGTTCTGAAGTTTGTGAATTTCTACTTAAGTGAATTTTCCAGACTTCACATAATGTTGATTGGCAACTGGACTACAAAATTAAACCCTCAATCTTGTTTTCATACATTAATTATACCGACAAAACAAAATTTTTTAGCAGCTTTTGAACTCCTTGCTGCAGAGCTGAAAATGTTGTTTCTTTTTAACTCCTCCATCTCACTGTGAGAAAGATTGCATCTATATCGAACAACATTGTCCGACCCAGGTTGTCCCCACCCTCCAGGCACAAATGATGGCCAAATGGCTCGTGTTTGCCCAGGGGCCAGGATGGGGGATGTCGAAGTCTCAAATTGATTGGTGCAGTAATTTGCAATTTTATTCCTCGAAATTGCGATTAGAACTGTGATTCATGGTCATTAATCTTCATCATTAAGACGTTTTTTATTGTATGATTATTCAAATCGACTGGTAGCTGCACAACACCTGAGGTTACCACAGATTCTAATGGCATGCTTTGATGTTGCATTCAGCGACATACCACGTGCCAATAAGGTGCCTCATATGCAGCAGTTTATAAAGTCAACAACTACAATGTGACATGAACAGGGCATAATTCTTTGTGTCTCCTTAACAGTAAGTGGTGTGACCCACACCTCTGGGTAGATCCTTCCTTATAAATTGCAATCTTCAGTTTGTTTTAGTATTTTTATGTATAAAAAAAGACTTCAGGTGGAATTTAGACTTGTTTTAAAATTCACGGGTAATTATTATTAGTTATTATCGGAATAAGAGAGAGTCTGCTAGACAGATTGGTCATTTGCATAAACTTGCATTGGGATATGAATTTTATTTTCGAGTGGCAAAACAATATTTTACGAACGAGCGCAGCGAGTGAATAAAATTTTGTTTTTGCCAAAGAAAATAAAATTCATATCTTCAAGCCGACGTGTAATGTTCTTTTTATTATATAGACAAAAAGACATCGTTAAGCATCGTTAAAATAATAGAGGGAAATGACCGAAATTACGTCATCGATAAACTCACGTGTGAGATTATGGAAAATAAACCACTCGGGTCCCAGATGTAGTTTTTATGAATTTTACGAGTGGTATATTTTCCAGTAAAACAACTCGTGTCTATATAATATATATATATATATATATATATATATTTTTTTTTTTTTTTGTTGTTGTTGTTGTTGTTGATTACCTGTACTATTAATATTTGTCTCTGAAAAGCCCCCATGGGGAGTTGACAGTACAATTTGTATTGTATTGTATTGTACCCCCCAATTTGGACAAGGTCCATGGACCAATTATATTACCCAGGTCCATGGAACCCGTATTATGGACAGGGCCCGCGGACATTTTTTTAAAGCAGTTTAAGAAGGATTAGAGTAGAAAGGAAGAATGAAGAATGAACATCACGGCCAACTTCAACCTACATATTAAATAGTACAAATTAAGTTTTGGAGGTTTTGATCACTAAATTCTATTTAGACAGTGCTGCTGGACACATATGGTTGGTCAGCTTTGTGGATATATTTTACCATAATAGTCAATTAAGACAAAAATATGACCATTGCGATGCCCAAGAACTTATTGCACTGGAAAATGGGGAAAAATTCAAACATTCAAGGAAACGTCGTTCACCTATTATACTTTTTACATTTCTTCTTTCTCGTGATTTTTAAGATAATAAAACGTGACAAACACTGAATTTTCTTTTTTCCTGTTTTTTTCTACAAACCACCTTTTAGTGCTGTTTTTGCTGGCCCGGCCAACAATATTTGAAGCTGAAATTGCATGTTGATAGCGGTCATGTTGAAACGCAGACCATGCAGACTGCAGACTGCAGACTGTACAGACCGTGTAGACCGTGCAGACTGAGTGTTATTTTTTTACTTGTACATTAATTTTCTAGTAAAATTTTTAATATAGTTTCCTGCTTCCTCTCATTATATATGTGCACTGATGTGTACCTGCAAGGGTCATCAGTAGGAAATGAGAAATCACGGGCTCATGTTTACCGGCAGATGTAAATTAAAGCAGTTCCGCTTGCTTTTAGCCTCCCCGCAGACGTCCGTTGGGGTTCGTTTGTTGTCACGGTCCGTGGGGAGAAATGAATGCGTGACAACAAACGAACCCCAACGGACGTCTGCGGGGAGGCTAGCTTGCTTTTAGCTGCGCCGCTTTCACGCAGGAGCGAGCACGATGGAGGAAGGTAAGCTGTTTCTTTCTGTAACTGTATTATATTGCCACGATTGTTTATTTTTTTAGTTGATAGAAATAATATCGAGTTTTCAGTATTTGTTCTTTGCCACTGAGTGGAGTGCGAAATTTACTGAGAATATAGGACCGCTAGCCATGTAGTGTTTTGAAAACCTTGACCGGTTACCGGCCATATAGCCACAGCGAAAAATTTTACTAGAAAATTAAGGTACAAGTAAAAAAAAATAACACTCAGTCTGCACGGTCTGCACAGTCTGCAGTCTGCAGTCTGCATGGTCTGCGTTTCAACATGACCAGAGAGTATAAGTGATCTGATATTCTGTTTTACTTCAGCAAACTGCTATTAAAGTGGGAAACACGAAGCCGCAGAATGTGACCGTCTCATCTGTTTTTTTTTTCTTCCTCTGAATTCGTGATTGCAACCAGCCAAAATTCATCATTTAACAGTTTTTGTCATTTCTGGGATTCAGCTGAATCAAATCAAATCAAATCAGATCAAAAACTTTATTTTAAAACATGTCAAAGTAGCTAGCCGAGGGTAATACCCCTCTTTGATCTACTAATTTGGGAAAACCCGTAAACTAATAAATCATCAAAAGCCTAATAACTATTTGGTACTAAACGCCTAGTTACTTATGACCTAAAAAAGTAACTAAAATAGAAAGCCATTGTAGTTCGTGCAAGTTGTAAGGTGTGCATATGAAATGGCTCGGATATTTTTGTGGGACATAGTTTGTGTTTAACCTAGCTTATACATGAGGATAGCAATACATTATTTTAGTTATTTGTTTGATGGGCCACATACAGATACAGTAT